TTCTCCTCTGTAAGAACAAGAAGCTGAAGGTTCATAAAAAAAAAACCCATGGATTTCTACTAAATCAACACACAAAATTCGTTTTTGGTGAAGATCAAGTTGTTCCTCTTGGTAAGTTTCTATAACCCATTTTTATACTAGACATCTACTAGTATTTTCTACATATCTTTTTGTACAGAGCTCTGATTTAAGTGATCTAGGACTTTCTGGAAAGGTATTTCATAAATCTACAACTCTTATGAAGGAACCAAAATCTAGTTTTGTTGTTATATACCTGAAAAAGAGTCAGAAAGTACAGGGCAGGTGCTGTCCAGATTTTCAGTTCTTGAAATACTCCATGTACTGCTGTTAGTAAATTTAGCATAACCTTTTGTTCAAAATTGAAATGGTGGTGATTCAAGATGTTCTGAAACGGTAAGACATAGATCTACAACTTTTGTGAAGACTATAAAGTCTAGTTTGTCCGTATAGATCTTCAAAACTGAGTCACAACTTGGAACAGTGATACTGTCCAGAATTTCTGTTTCAAACGTTTTTGGGTAATTTTCACCAATATTATGTTTAGTTGACTTGTTAAATCACTGAACTTTTTTAGATATTTGATTATGTATTTAAGGTATATAAACCCTTGAAAAAAACATCAAAGGGGAAGTGNGAATTTATATAAAGTACCAAAATAAAGTACATTTTTTTTTTGTATTTTTTCCACGTTTATGAGAAATGCATAAACTAAAATTTATATATGTATTTTTTGTGATTTTTTTCTTTTTGCAACGAAATAAAGTAAAAATAGTTAAAATGGCTATATTAGACCCAATTTCACATATTTACGCTAAAAATGTGAAAAATCTCGGGGAGGGTCAAAAATCACGTGCTTACACTACCTCTCTCTCTTTCTATCTCTATCTCTCTATCTCTATCTCTCTATCTCTATCTCTCTCTACTCCGTAGGAACAAGAAGCTGAAGTTTCATAAAAAAAAAAAACCAACCATGGATTTCTACTAAATCAACGCACAAAATTCGTTTTTGGTGAAGATCAAGTTGCTCCTCTTGGTAAGTTTCTAAACTCGTTTTTATACTAGATACCTACTAGTATTTTCTACATATCGTTTTGTACAGAGCTCCGATTTAAGTGATCCAGGACTTTCTGGAAAGGTATTTCATACATCTATAATTTTTATGAAGGAACTAAAATCTAGTTTTGTTGGTATATACCTGAAAAAGGGTCAAAAAATACAGGACAGGTGCTGCCCAGATTTTCAGTTTTTGAAATACTCCACGTACTGCTGTTAGTAATTTTAGCATAAATTTTTGTTCGAAATTGATATGGTGGTGATTCAAGATGTTTTGAAACGGTAAGACATAGATCTACAACTTTTGTGAAGACTATAAAGTCTAGTTTGTCCGTATAGATCTTCAAATCTGAGTCATAACTCGGAACAGTGATACTGTCCAGAATTTCTATTTCAAACGTTTTTGGATTATTTTCACCAATATCATGTTTAGTTGACTTGTTAAATCACTGAACTTATTTAGATTGTTGATTATGTATTTAAGGTATATAAACCCTTGAAAAAAATCAAAGGGGAAGTGTTTGAGGAAGTGGATAGATTTGGTTTGTTTACGGCGTAGACGATTCGAACGTCCCCAAGTTGTGATTGAACTGTTTTGTGGTAAAACACCAAGGTTTGTGTATAAACTTGTACTCTTTTTGATTGCTGGAAATATGTTGAAATAACCTGATATTTTATTTTTCTTATTTTCGAATTATATTGTTATATTCGTATTATATCAAGTCTTGTAAGAAATTTGCTAAATCGCCCATTCGTACGGATTGTTTGATCATTTTGCATTCTTGTTCGGACTTTGTCCTTCTTGTGGCAGTGACTTAGTCACTCATCTTGGCATGCCTCTTGATTCGGATCTTTTGCAATCTTGACTTTGGATTTGTAGTTCGTCTTGAATTATGGAACTTGTCTGTGTTAAGTACGAACTAGGAAGCCATTTTTAATATGGTTCTTGGTTCTCTTGTCTATTGGGTTTTGACCCTACTTGATTTGGGGCTTCGGTCCATCTTGATATCTGATTATGCTTAGTGTGATGGCATGACGTACATATTGGGCGGAAAAAAATAGATATTTGGTATACTCTCTTAGATTGATAGTATACACTTTCTAGACTCTTGAACATTGTTATTGATATTTGGAAACACTTCAAAGTTTGATATTGATATGTTTGATATATTTGTTCACTTTTTTTTTAAATTATGTTAAATTGAGCTAACTATGACTGAAAAGGGGAAATTCGAGAATTTAATGACTCCAAGCCTAAAGTTTATACACCACTAAGCTTTATGCTTAGCGATAATTGTTTTCTATCGTAGAAAATGTTCGGGATGAAATCTGAAGATGGCCAGGGTGAAGTAGTCTCTTTGGGAGAATTTATGGAGATCACATTTGCATATGCACCTTGGTTTGCATA